CCGCTCCTCTGTCAGAAAAGAAGTTGACAGGTACCCTTCAAATATCTGAGGCAACTTACACAGGCAGAAGTGCAGCCTCTTGTAAATACTAAAATGGAATTTGACCATAAATGGCTAGAAAATGTTTGGCTTCTCCTCTTCGCTTCACTCTTTCCTCATATTTCAGTCCCATTTGTATTGTTTCTTTTTTCAACCAGCTTCACCCGTTCCTGCGAAGGTTGTCATTTAACAACTCAGAGGGAGAAACTGTGTCGTTTAATGAGAAAAGGGAAATAGGAGGTGGATTTGACGTCATGAACGTGGTCATATTTCCCAATAACTCTTTGTAGTAGGGAAAAGGTCTTCTGGAGGAAGAGGCCAAAAAAGGGGAGAAACTAAGGAGACAAAGACAGGGATCTATACAATATGTAGGTAGACATCACATCAGATTTTAAAGTTCTGGGAAAGAAACTCAAGGACTTTGAGGCCCAGAAAGTCTTTTCATCTATCTCACCAATACTCAGAAGAGGAATAGAAAGAGAAAGGAAAATACGGTAGATGAATGACATCAGCACCACCTTTGTAAATTAAGATTTTGGGACCATGGGCTACACTTCCTGGAAGATGGACTACTGTCAAGAGATGGGTTGTACCTCACAAGGAATGGAAAGAATGTGTTTGGCCACAGCATGAATAACTTAGGAAGGCTTTGAACAGAATTGGAAGACACAAGCACACAGATCAAGACAGATGAAGCCTTACTCTTGTTAAGAGGAAGAGACCAAACCGTTGAAATGGGGCTCAATAATAATAGTAATAGTAATATCCATTAAAATGTACAAACAGGCCAGAAATCACCCAGTGATTATATACGAATGTGGGAAGCAAACAAGGACTGGAAATTTCAGTTCAGGAGAGCAAATATGACTTGATAAAAATAACTGAAACATGGCGGGAACTGAAATGCAGACTGAAATGCAGGAATCGAAGGGTGTAGCTTGTTCATAAAGAACAGAGAGACTAGAAAGGGAGGTGAACGGGAAGTTGAGTCACAACAACTGGAGTTCTTTCTTAGGAAAGAAGGTTCATTTGCCATGGCTCATCATCTTCCATATATAACCACCCCTGGATGACTGAGAATCTTCACAGATATAAAGGGAGGTGAAGTTGCAGTAAATGTAAAAAAATACGCATTCTGCACAGAAATAGAGGAGGAACACTTTTCAAAGGCTGCCATGCACAAAAGGGGCAGGATCTGTTCTTGATCATCCCAGAGTTTAGGACATGCAACAATGGGCTCAAGTTACAGGAAATTCAGCTTTTGGCTGAATATCAGGAAAAATTCCATCTTCGAGCAGTAAGACAGTGGAATCAATGACCTTGAGAGGTAGTAAGTAATCCAGCCCTGGAGGCATTCAAGAGAAACTTAGACAACCAACCACATGACAGATATCCTTTGATTTGTACTCCTGTATTGAGCAGTGGGTAAGACTTCATGGCCTTACAGGCCCCTTCCAACGTTTCTATGATTCTGTTACTGACCAGTTTCAAAAATGAGACGCAACAATGACTTCGCAAATATACCTGTTCCTAAATTGAAAACTAGAATACTCTTACAGGGTTTTTTGTTTTTCTGTTTTGTTTTGTAGAAGTGAATATTGATTCTGCATTTCTTGAGTATTGCTGAGTTATGAAGGGATCCAGAGAAGATGGATTCAAAAGACCAGAGTAGGGCAACCTGGTTTCTGTAGGTTATTTGACTAAGAGGAATAATAGATAAACTCTTTGTGATGACCCTTCTGAACTCTGTCCTTTTTATGAACAGGTGGTTCCCATTTCGGTTTGCAACGAGTACTGCCATCCTGGCTTTCAGAAGAAAAGTAAGGAAGGAGAAAAGTTTTGTTGTTATGATTGTGCTCTGTGCCCAGCAGGAAGGATTGCAAACCAGACAGGTGGGTGTTTGAAATGAAAAAAAAATTAAGAAACGAAGAGTTGCCATGGCCGATATGTTACTGGGTCAAATGAAAAAAATATATTAAGAAACAAAGAGTTGCCATGGCTGATATGTTACTATGAAACTCCTCAATGGTTAATGATTAAATCAAAAGACAAAATCTTGCACTGCAACACTACAATGTGACATTTGGATGATATCATCCTCATGGGGTTGGGTGACTGTTCAATGTACACGTAGAAAGAGCAGTAGTTGTAATACCACCACAACACCTTCAGCAGCACTTCAGCAGCGGTTTGGGGCCATTCAAAACCTCTTTGACCCGTCCCATCCTGAAGCTCTCAAAGGCTCTCTGGGGGAAAGGAGAGGTGCAGAAATCATTAGAACTGCACTCATGGGTTGCAGGAGATCCGTTCATGTTCTTATTCACAATGGCCCAGTGAGCTCTATACTGACATGGCAGATCAGCCAGTGTGAGGATACAAGGCACAGGAGAGACCCTGGTAATACCTTAAAAATAGGCTTACTCTTGTGCCTTTGGAGAAACACACAAGCAAACATATCTATACACAAAGCCAGATGGCAGTTCTGAGCTGGAGATGATGGGTGCTTAGGCTTCAATGCCATCTCATGTGCAAGAAACCAGCAACAGATGAAATAGATTCCAGAGTGATCTTCTTCCTTCCTTCCTTCCTTCCTTCCTTCCTTCCTTCCTTCCTTCCTTCCTTCCTTCCTTCCTTCCTTATTGATTGATTAATTGATTAATTGATTGATTGATTTCATTTTCTA